GTTTGTATCGAAGATAACGCGGTAGAGCGTTAAATATCGCGTTTCACACCAACACTCTAATTTGAATTTAATTCGATTCTCCTTATTACAGTAATAGCATTTTATTCCGTATCAACAGCAATTGCTTCTCCGTTATCCCAACCCAGGCTTTAACGATTCCGTAATTTAATCGCGCAAGTATCGGAAATTAAAAAGTCGCGATACCGAATAATTCTAATTGAATAATTCTAATTCATTGAATAATTTTAATTTTAAGCCGAGAAAATGTCTCGTGATGATGGGACATATGAAAATAAAAGTACACATAATAAAAAATATTTCTAAAGCCTTCATAAGAGAAAAATATGCAGAAATATATAAAGAGAAGAATAAAATGAAAAAATATAGAAAACGCAAAAGTATTTTAGAAAGATCGAAGTAATCTTTGTAATTATTTTTTAATGAATTTTTAATTGTGATTATTTTTTAATTGATTTTTAGTTGATCCCGAAAGTAATTTCTTGCCTGAGAACTTCAAAGACAGAATGCATCGTACGTATATACATAATTGCCAAGTTAAGCATACATCATCGTTCCCTTTGTTGAAAATTGTCAATGGATCGTAAGTTCTTATAATTAATGGTTAAGTTATCGGCTTTCGAAGGCATCGTAAGAAAGCTCGCCAGATTCACTCGTATCGAAAACGTACGAGACACAATGCCCGGCGCGTTTAAATGTTGAAAGCGGTATCGAGGGCAATATTTCTCCCGGAGAACAATACGATACCGTGAAGGAGAGGAGGCAACAGCCGCGACAATGTTCGCAGTTACCGCCGTCAGGAAACGCACGCTAGGTAACGACCGGTTACCTACTACGTTTTACCCCGCGGATGCATCCACCGCGCGCTTTACATCGGCGCCGGTGCATCGTAGCGTAGCACTCACCGAGTCCGAGAAGACTAACGCGACCCTCTCGAATGCGCCCAGGGGGATATCGAAGTGGGAAAATTTATCTCGGATCGATAATGGGTCCCGATCGGAGCGCGCAGCGCCCGATGCCGGGATGCGCTATGTCGGGTCTCGCGGTGACGAAGTAGCTTCCGGGGGTAGAGCGTAATAGTTGCTCCACCTCGTCGCGTGCATCCCCCGGAGGATTTCCGAACGGCTGCCAATATAAACTCGAAGAGACAGACGGAGTAGCGCGACCAGGATAACCAGCATCAGCGCCCTTTTTCTTCTCCTCGTCGTTGTCGTTTGGCCGCGTAAAGTGTCTCTTACGCGAACCGTGCCGTAAAAATGGAACCGCTCGCGCGTAAATGTGTTTGGTCTTCGATCGAGGGGGGAGTCTCTTCCTTTATACAAACGACCACCGTTGTTCGAACGAATTTCTCAGAAGGAGAGCAAGCAGCGTTTTTCTCATCTCGTAGGAAATTTTTCGTACTGGCGGAAGACTAACTGACGGAATAACACGTGGAATATTACGAGCTCGATTTTTGTCAGTTAAAATCAATTAAACCGACAGTTTACCGATTCAATTTACGTCAATTTTTCGGAATTAAACTATCAACAATTTTCAGCGATTTGCCGTTAATTTCTATTCATATAATTTTTATAATCATATGTGCATAATACATTTTTAATATGTTCACGTTATATAGAATTATGAAGAAGTTAGCCGCTTTATTGATATTTTCGAATTTTCCGAAAATGTGACAAAGGTGTGCGGCGCCGAATAAAATGTTATTAACGGAAAAAATAAAGTTCTATTGGAATAACGGCAGCGTCATAATTCAGATTTTATTTATTCGAGGTATTTTGCACGAACTACACGTTGCATTCAGCTGTGTCAATAGCGAATTGATACATTGTCGACCGATTGAATGCGAATGCCTGAATGGATACACAAGTAGCCCTCGATAACATACTTCAATGACGGCTTTTCACTTTGTAATAGGATCGCAATAAAAAGAAAAAATTATATTGTCAGCGATGAAAATAAGGGTCAATAGAATAATCATTAAATCCAAATCAGCGGATCAATCACGTGACTATCAATCCATCTTCTCACTTTTCGAACTTTCCTCTCCATCAAATCCCTCCTCGAAAAATGCGACCACAATTTAAATCAATTTTCTATCAATTTTTTTATTTTTTTTTTTTTTTTTTTTTGGTTGGGTAGTAAGTAAACTACCG